AACGTAGCAAAGAGCGCTTAATCGAGCGACGAGAGAGGTAGCGAAGAGCGCTCGGTTCGGCCCCTTCGAGCGCCGCCGCGATTCCCGCCTTGAAAGCGAACGGAAAGAAAGAAAGAAAGAAAGAAGAAAGAAAATAGATCCAGGGGATATAGACTAGACAATAGTCTAAAACCCCTATAAAAGAAGAAGAAGAAGAAAGCGAACAGGGAAGTAGAGGAGTTTTCTGCGCGAGATTAGAGGTAGCCGCTGAGGAAACAGGTGGGTCGTGATTTCGTTATTTAAGCGAATTGGGCTTTCTTGTATTCGTATAATTGTCACTTTTCGGCGGTGCTTCTGATATCAGGCTTGGTTCCCTACGCCTCACGTCGCCTGTACAATCGTCCCCCCCAAAAAAAAATACACGTGAAGAAGAAAATGAGATGAAAGCGGGTTGGGAGGCGATTTTGAAAGGGAAAATTTACTCGGCGGGGAATATAAAGACCTTCGGAGGCTGGGGAAGACAAAGTCATTTTTTGTCTCGTTTTCTTCTTCACATATCAGAAGCACAGCCGAAAAGTGACAATTATACGAATACAAGAAAACCCAATTCCCTTAAATTTCTCATAACAAATTCGGTAAATTCTTTTTTTCTGCTTCTTAATAACAGTAGAAACATTACAGATAAAAACTTCAGTGGGTGACCTTTAGACGCTCATAGAGGACGCTTATTTTTCCATTTCCCAAAGAAATACCAAGTATGAGGCCTTATCCCCATATATTCTACAATCAGTAATCGAAGCTACAATAACAGAAAGAGAACGTTTATCAAAGTGTTAGGTAATTTTGGTTAATTTTCCGTTATTATTATGGTCAAGTTTCACCCACCCAGCTTTTATTAGGAAAAGGATACATGCAAACGGCAGAGGTGATAAATTCAAGAAACTTACCTTCTGCGTACTGCTGTCACAAATAAAAGGAACTAAGAAGCTAATTAGATCATATATAACGTTTTTGATGCCATCGCCATGCTAATACAAAATGCTGTTGTTGTAACTAATAAAACTTGATTATATAGTAACCTTCATTTGTGCCCATTTATTTTGTCTCATTTTGGGTTCTTTAGTGGGCAGTACTCTTTGGTTTTGCTTATATCTATACAGGGTCCTACTCACCATAAAAGCAAATTTTAGATTTTCTGAACATGTAAAGGTGGTAGCTGCTCACCGTAGGAAAAAATCTTAAGTTTATAATAGTAGAAATATAATTAATTTTGAAAATATGAATTAATGATCATTATTTTGCATCAATATCATCATTGATATCCTTGTACACAGTTATAATGAATGACAAATACACCAAATATTTTGATTACTTATTTGTGACTGTTGTTGGCACAGCAGATAAATATCAAGTAATTAATTACCAAATCTTTCCTGCTACTGTCACATAAAAAAGAAGAGAAAAAAAAGGTGGATAAAAAATAAATTCTCTCTTCCAGAAACAGGCCAAAATGGTGAGGACTCGAGCTGACGCTGGACCAACCAAGGTGTCTGCGGCCAAAGCACCAAGAAAGGTGTTGAGTGCCCCCAGTGGAGGTGCAGGAAGCTCCTTCTCATCACCTGGAAGAGTGAGCGGCAAAGAGAAGTAAGGAGAATTGTTATTCTTGTTTTTTTGTTGTTGTTTTGTCAAATTTTCAGTCCATGAACACCCATATACTGTTCTTTGTGGTTCTGTTTTTAAATGGCTCTGGAAGTGCTTAGTCACCAGTGACTCTATTTGTTAGCCTACTCAAGCTCTCCTATTTACCTCATAAGTGGAAGTATTTATTTTTATTACTTTCATTATTATTAATAATAATGATTATAATAATGTTGGAGGTGATAATGATGGAAACAATAATATTATTACTATTTATATTAATGAAGATAATGGTAACAGAAATGAGAAACAAATATTCAAGGAATGGGGTAAAACAAATAAGACTGTTGGCATAGTTACTGAATCTTTGGTGACTAATCACTTCTGAAGCCATGTATGTGTCAGCAGAATGAACAAAACAAAATGACAGTGAACAGTGCATGCTCCTAGTGCCACTTCAAAAAATAAATTGTGCACAACAGTATACACACAGTTTTGGGTAATAACTAAAATTCCAAAGTTTCAATAAATACAATTACCTTTGTGGTTGTTACCTGATTGCAGATACTCTGGAGGTAACAGTTACAACCCACAGCCCACACCAGAATGGCAGAAGGGAATTGGAAGCTTCTTCAAATGTGTTCCCAAACCCAGGAAGGAGAAGGCAGCAGTAGCAGTTCCTCAGAAAGAAAGGAAACCAAGCCAGAAGCTGAGGCAGGGGAAGGTTCATCAAATTTCAGTAAGAATGGAATGATATCAGATGATGATGAGTAAGTTCAAAAAGAATCTATTCAATAGCTTCTCTGTTGTGTATAATAAAAACTTGAACATTGGTCTTGAACAGACATTGAGACACAAATGTTTTTTTTTTTGTTTTTAAGGAAGACACATTAATGAGACTGATAATTGTTCTTAGAAAAGACTATATATTAGTAACATGAGCACAATCTCAGTTGCTCATAAAAAATATAGAATCAGTGTCATTTTGTAAAACAAGTTACTTTTATAAGAGTCATGTATTTTGTTTTTTAGATTGAATTTCTATAAATAAAAGTTTATACTTTACATTGTCTTTTAGTAACCATTGGAATACAGAAAATGGTTTAAGTTGTATATTGACCAATCTTCTTACCTGTATTTTTAGGAAGTGCTTATTCTTGAATTTTAGTTGCATATACCTAGACTAGGAGCCTTTTTGAAGCAAAAAGTATATATTTAATCCAATTGTGCTATGATAAAAAATCACTAAAGCTGTATGTTTAATTTCATGAGACCACTTTCTGGTGGCTAAGACAACACAACAGAAATGAGAAACAAATATTCAAGGAATGGGGTAAAACAAATAAGACTGTTGGCATAGTTACTGAATCTTTGGTGACTAATCACTTCTGAAGCCATGTATGTGTCAGCAGAATGAACAAAACAAAATGACAGTGAACAGTGCATGCTCCTAGTGCCACTTCAAAAAATAAATTGTGCACAACAGTATACACACAGTTTTGGGTAATAACTAAAATTCCAAAGTTTCAATAAATACAATTACCTTTGTGGTTGTTACCTGATTGCAGATACTCTGGAGGTAACAGTTACAACCCACAGCCCACACCAGAATGGCAGAAGGGAATTGGAAGCTTCTTCAAATGTGTTCCCAAACCCCAGGAAGGAGAAGGCAGCAGTAGCAGTTCCTCAGAAAGAAAGGAAACCAAGCCAGAAGCTGAGGCAGGGGAAGGTTCATCAAATTTCAGTAAGAATGGAATGATATCAGATGATGATGAGTAAGTTCAAAAAGAAATCTCTATATTTTCAAATAGCTTCTCTGTTGTGTATAATAAAAACTTGAACATTGGTCTTGAACAGACATTGAGACACAAATGTTTTTTTTGTTTTTAAGGAAGACACATTAATGAGACTGATAATTGTTCTTAGAAAAGACTATATATTAGTAACATGAGCACAATCTCAGTTGCTCATAAAAAATATAGAATCAGTGTCATTTTGTAAAACAAGTTACTTTTATAAGAGTCATGTATTTTGTTTTTTAGATTGAATTTCTATAAATAAAAGTTTATACTTTACATTGTCTTTTAGTAACCATTGGAATACAGAAAATGGTTTAAGTTGTATATTGACCAATCTTCTTACCTGTATTTTTAGGAAGTGCTTATTCTTGAATTTTAGTTGCATATACCTAGACTAGGAGCCTTTTTGAAGCAAAAAGTATATATTTAATCCAATTGTGCTATGATAAAAAATCACTAAAGCTGTATGTTTAATTTCATGAGACCACTTTCTGGTGGCTAAGACAACACTTTAGGAGCCCATCTGTGAGCTGGACAATAGCCAATAGCCCAGGCATAGTGTAGTATATGGCAATGGGTTAAAGTAATCATTTACAATATGCTCCCAGAAAAACATGTTAATCTAAGACATGTCAGTTTGTACTAATGGACGTCAGTTGTGAATATTTTTTTATAGAGTTAGTAAAACATATGTACATTCACAACTATTCTTAAACATTACTATAAGGAAAAACAATTTCTTAACCACATGCTGCCAGGGAAAATGAATAAAAAATGGGGAAAATACTGTGCACATTTTTTATATTGTGAAATGTCTCTGCATATACATGGCTATGCTAGTGTTTAGCCACAAAGGAGTTGATTAGTAGACATTGTGACCTTACTTAATTTGGGGGAAAAAAGATATTCTTTACTAATTTTATGAAAATCAATGGTGTTATTAATGTGGGTTGCTGGCACTCATTAGCAGTTTCCCAATTTGCACCCAGCTGATTCAGTACTTCAGGCACAACATCAGGCACCTAATAACAAGTAGCTGTATTTATAAACAAAGGTTTTTAAAAAGTAAGGATTTCTCTTCACTTCAGGTGCTCATATCTAATAGTGACACCAGACATGATGTTGCTACTGATGAGCCAATGGTTGAGGGTATGTCCTGATATGGTCCCTTCTATGACTGTCCACCACAGCCTGTGCTGGATTTCATACCCTTCACAACCAAAAGATTGAAAGGTAGATTCATTTTTGGGTGTTTTGCTTGCTTATCTTTGGCTTGTTTGCTAGGGTTTAATAATGATTTGTATGTATTTTCTACTATGTGAATGATGGGTACTAAAAGACATAAAGATGTTTCTCTTTTTTAATAAAAGTATATACAGTGTTATTTAACGATATCACAGTGCTATAAGAAACTCAGAAAATGCAAAATCTGATTCAAGCCACAAACTGTTTTCTGGTTCTTTGAATTAAAAGGTCTTGTCAAGTTAATTATCCCTTTTTCCATTTTCTCAGGAAAGATGAATTTAACTTTCTCATATGCTTCCTTGCCAGACAACAACCAGAGATAAGTGTATTACTTAGAAAGTGTTGCAGTGTGTTCTGCAGGTGTGTATGTTTCACAGGAATGTTATGATACCAGTTTTCACTGAGTTATCCTCCATCATAAAGTAAGAGATTTGGTGCAAAAATAAGTGCAGTTGCTTTACCCCTCCCTGAGAAAAACTGTATTGTGATACAGGAAGTTAGGAAAAACTAGAGCCACTAGAGTTTATAAAAATGTAAAAACATTAAAATGACAAAACACATCCATATAAATTCACTTCTCGGAAGAAAAAAAATATGGCATCAAGATATTTGTCTAAATGCAGAAGCTCAGATTCATAGACTGATGTTCACACTAACCTTGATGAGGGACAACAGTGATTGTGTGTTTTAAAAATACTATTGTTTAAGCATTTAACAATATCCTATTTCATTGCCAGGGGGGTTATTAACTGTATGAGTTGAAATAAAGATGAGAGTTTGATTCAGCAATGGAAATGTGTAAAAGGCCAAGTGGAAGAAGGCCTGGAATACATCTGTGAACTTTCATTTTATAGGAAGCACTTATCATTATCACTTTAATTTGTCACTTACTTGTGACAAATAAATGATAAAAATAAATTAAACAATAGCTTTTGCAACTGCATATAAATTTCTTTGTTATATAATGAAAATGATGTATGTTCACAATGTTACTCTATACATTTCATTATAGAGCCATATTCAGTGACATCAACTAACAGATCAGTTTTGAGTTAAAAGTAGCCCTAATTGGTATCTTTCATCTACTTTTGACATTCTGTTTCAGAGACATAGGGTACCTATTTAAATTAAGCTATTCTTTCTTAAATGCCGAAGAACATCAACTACCACCAAAGTGATACACAGTGTACCCAGCTGACTACCATCTTCTACACTTTTCACTGTTAAAGGAGATTCACAAAGGTCTTGTCCTCTTTTCAGCAAATCATGGAGATTCACATATGCATATCTGAAATATACCCAAGAAATAATAAGGGAATCAATCACCACAGAAATAGGAAAATAAGTGACTTTAATTTGAAAGTAGGGAAATCTACATTACTATGCTTTTATCTGAAAACTAATTATTTTTGTGCTTTTTAAGCACAGAAAAAATGCAAGTAATAACTATTTAGAAATACATATCTTAACTCTAATCTTGTCTGAACACAAAGACTTTGGTGAAGACACCCAAATTATATGGAGTCTAGCTAATATAATGTGATTTTCTTTAATATCTATAAAACTGAAAAGAGAAGAAAAAACACTAATGCTGCTCACCCCAAATCCTGGCAGTCATGAGTATCCTGAAGATGTTCAGGTGGTTCTGAAGTTACAGTAAATTTGATGATCCCTCTGTTCTTCATTAGGTCAATCAAAGATTTCAGACGAGATGGATGCTTTTTCTCATCAAGGCTAAACTCTGAGAACAACAAAATGATGCAGAATTACTTTTCTTTGCATGTAAAAAAGAAATAAAATGAGAATTACTCTCTTATTATTCTAAGAAAATTACATTCGTTTACATTATATGTATGGTATATACCAGTGCAGATAATAGATTATAAGTCATGCAATATGAACTATAAAAAGATTAATCACAAATTTAGGGAGCAAAGTCATGACTGAACCCCAAAAATTTTTCATCAATGTTTAGATACTTGCAATACTTAATCACACAGTCCAATAGCCTGGAATACAAGATTTAGTTATTTATTACCATGATAGCACTTCACTATATATGCTGTTGCAAGAATAAGCTCAACTGCATTTTTCTTTAATGAATGGTATAGCCTTTCCATTGAGTCCACACCTGGAAACTGTTGGCATATTCTCATTTTAATTCACTTGTTAATCCACTTGTCATCACATATAGCAGTACTTCTCTTGGATCATGTTTCCTGCTCTTCTTGTTATGTACACCTTCATAATCTAGCTCTTAAAAAAAATCAACAAGTAAGCTCCTAATACATAAGAAAATATAAAAAAAAAAAAAAAAAAAAAAAAAAAAAAAAAAAAAAAAAAAAAAAAAAAAAAAAAAAAAAAAAAAAAAAAAAAAAAAAAAAAAAAAAAAAAAAAAAAAAAAAAAAAAAAAAAAAAAAAAAAAAAAAAAAAAAAAAAAAAAAAAAAAAAAAAAAAAAAAAAAAAAAAAAAAAAAAAAAAAAAAAAAAAAAAAAAAAAAAAAAAAAAAAAAAAAAAAAAAAAAAAAAAAAAAAAAAAAAAAAAAAAAAAAAAAAAAAAAAAAAAAAAAAAAAAAAAAAAAAAAAAAAAAAAAAAAAAAAAAAAAAAAAAAAAAAAAAAAAAAAAAAAAAAAAAAAAAAAAAAAAAAAAAAAAAAAAAAAAAAAAAAAAAAAAAAAAAAAAAAAAAAAAAAAAAAAAAAAAAAAAAAAAAAAAAAAAAAAAAAAAAAAAAAAAAAAAAAAAAAAAAAAAAAAAAAAAAAAAAAAAAAAAAAAAAAAAAAAAAAAAAAAAAAAAAAAAAAAAAAAAAAAAAAAAAAAAAAAAAAAAAAAAAAAAAAAAAAAAAAAAAAAAAAAAAAAAAAAAAAAAAAAAAAAAAAAAAAAAAAAAAAAAAAAAAAAAAAAAAAAAAAAAAAAAAAAAAAAAAAAAAAAAAAAAAAAAAAAAAAAAAAAAAAAAAAAAAAAAAAAAAAAAAAAAAAAAAAAAAAAAAAAAAAAAAAAAAAAAAAAAAAAAAAAAAAAAAAAAAAAAAAAAAAAAAAAAAAAAAAAAAAAAAAAAAAAAAAAAAAAAAAAAAAAAAAAAAAAAAAAAAAAAAAAAAAAAAAAAAAAAAAAAAAAAAAAAAAAAAAAAAAAAAAAAAAAAAAAAAAAAAAAAAAAAAAAAAAAAAAAAAAAAAAAAAAAAAAAAAAAAAAAAAAAAAAAAAAAAAAAAAAAAAAAAAAAAAAAAAAAAAAAAAAAAAAAAAAAAAAAAAAAAAAAAAAAAAAAAAAAAAAAAAAAAAAAAAAAAAAAAAAAATGAAAGAGATCAATAAGGGAAGCATACACGGAATATAAATTACCTTGACCAAAATTAAAGTTGATCACACATCCTGGAGGAGGCTTAGGGAGGGAGTGAGGTGTCTCAAGCTGGTCTGGTGGAAGGCCAAGGAAACCATGATAGTCAACAAAGAGAAGTTCAACTGTTGGATCTTGGGATATACTTGAATCACTGTGAAGAGTCAGGCTACATACTTCAACATATACTTTTGATTGCTTGTTCTGTAAGAAAAAGTACACTATAAATATGGATTGTTACTGTGCTCTTATCAATTTTCTCTATATACACATATACACAATAAATAAACACATGGTGCATTCATAATTCTATTAAGCTCAAAGTTCCTCATGGATGTTGCTACTAAATTTACTGAATAATTAGAGACAGTAAACAAAATGCAAAATATATCTAAAGGTTTATCATAATATAACACAGTCAGTCCTGTGAAAAGACATTTATCTGTTGAAACTATAATAAGTCAATGTATGACCTTCTTAGTTTTAGGAAGCACAGCTACAACTCCTTCAGAATCACTTGTAATATTTGAATGTGTTGGAGAGGAATTCTCTTCTGTTCCTTGACTACTGCTACTACTTTTGCTCCTTGACTGCAGCTCCTGTACTCTTCTGTTTGATAATCTCTGTGAATATATTCTTTTTATTAAAAATAAAACAAAGAAATAAGCAAAAATGCTATCAAATATGGACATACAACATATCTTTAAAAATTGGTTCAGTGTAATTAAATGTTCAATTTACATATGATAATAGCAGATGTCTATATGATGTGTGTTATTCAATATACAGTGGAATTTATAACAAAATATGGGTATTACCAAAATCTTATCAAACACCTGATATATGAGATGTAAAGTTCAAATTCAAATATAGTTCTATGTACACAAATGTATGTATGTGTGTGTGTGTGTGTGTGTGTGTGTGTGTGTGTGTGTGTGTGTGTGTGTGTGTGTGTGTGTGTGTGTGTGTGTGTGTGTGTGTGTGTGTGTGTGTGTGTGTGTGTGTGTGTGTGTGTGTGTGTGTGTGTGTGTGAGTGTGAGTGTGAGTGTGAGTGTGTGAGTGTGTGAGTGTGTGAGTGTGTGAGTGTGTGAGTGTGAGTGTGTGTGTGTGTGAGTGTGTGTGTGTGTGAGTGTGTGAGTGTGTGTGATCTCTAGTATAGTAGACAATCATAATACCTTGCTAGATGTTGCACCATAGATTTCAGAGCTGGATTGTTCATCTTCATCTTCATCCTCATCAGGTGGTCCTAAAAATAGAAAGGAAAACAATGAAACACTATAATTCCAAATGATATATGCAGTTTTACAAGCTATAATACTGACTGTGAAATGAATTTATTGTCTTCGCAATTAATGGGACAATCCATCATTTTTTTTACATTCAATCTCAACACCATATAGGGACCAGTTCAGCACCTAAGGTACAGGACAATGAACACAGTCAAATCAAAGGGAGATTTGGAAACTACATACCCCTCTGCTTTCCATTCCACAGATGAGACTCGGGATATTCAGTATCAGAATCTGATGATTCTTCAGACTCTTCAAACATGGTATCACTGTTATCTTCTTCCTGAGATAGAGATTCAGACTTCTGGGCCAGCCCTTGCTGAGGAGTCTGAGAGTAAAATTATTTGTTCATTCTGGTGTGATAATCTCTGTCAGGGTATGTGTGATAGTAATTCCTATGTTTAAAAATACTTAGCCTTAACTGTGCTTGTTTGTCATAAATAATTTAGAGGCAATCATTTGTAGCTACAATGACTTCTGCTAAGAATATTACACAATTCATTATTCACTTAAATCTAACATTAAGTAAATTGAGGACCACTAAGGACTAACCTTTTCTCGGACTTGTACTGGGCTTTTTCTTATAGCACCCTTATCAATCTGAGATGGAGCTTGTCCACGTCTGATTGCTGTCTTAGGTCGCACAATTTGTCTTTTAACATGTGTTGTTCCACTTGATTCCTTGACCTTTGAAGAGGAGTCTGCATGGAATGTAACCTGCTCACTTGCTACATTCTTAGCAACACTACTGTCATCACTGTTGCTCTTTTGACTGACTTCATGGACTGGACTCCCAATGTTATAAGTACCTGTTGAACTACAAGACTCTGATCGAGTCCGGAAAGATACTCTGCTTTCCTGCTTGTGTTCTTCAGTGTGGTGAGGAGACTGGCCTACTTCTTCCTGAGATTCATGGGAGATTTCTGCTCTTGATGAACTGTCTTGGGTTTTGTGCAAATTACTCATGCGAGATTGTGCTCTTGGAGCGGGAATGGGATGTTTTGCTCTAGTTTTTTCTTCCTCATCTGATTCTTCATGCACATCAGATTTTTGCTCATGCTTGACTGAACTTTCCTCTTCCACCTGAAGACTTGCCTTTCTCTTGATTGGATTTTTTGATTGTATGATTTTCGAATCCTGTAATATATTTAATGTACAGGTTAATATGAAAATATATACAGCTAACTCTCTTTCAATCACAACAACAACAACAACAACAACAAAACCAACAACAACAACAACAACAACAACTGCATTAGTAAAACAAGAAATCAGGAAAGGTCACAAGGTCTACTAATTAATTCCTTTGTGGCTAAGCACTTGCAGAGCCATCTATGAGACATTTCACACAAAAAAATTAAATGACCACAGCATTCTCCTGGTGACACTGAGTTAAGTAAAATCCAGTGAGAATTGGAGGAAACATGAGATAAGATACTGGACTGAGACATAAATATGTTAATCCTTTAAAAGCTGATGGCACAATTCCATGCCATGGCTGTGGTGGACCAAGTCATAGGTAGCACATAAATACCTGTCCTGCACCATATATTGCACCTTATATTTTCTCTAACAATTGTATTTGTGTTTTGAAATACCAAAAAAGCCTGGTGCAAACATGAAAACTACCACTGTGTGTCAACAACTCCTGGCCACTAGCCTGTTTTTAATACCAGTATCACTGGGTTAACATCCTGTGACAGGTTTTCTCTCTCTCTTCTCACTAATCCAAATTGGCACCAAAATGTAACTGAGTAGTGGCAACCATGAAAGAGAAACCTAATGTAAGAAATTAAGTTCTACTGTTTAACTATATAAATCTTATACCACTTTGCTTCATAAAATTCATCTGTATGAATGTTAGAAATGATGAAGGCACAAAAGCAGAAACTCGTCTGAACAACATTAGAGAGTGAAACAAATAAACAAGGGTTTCCATGGCCAGCCCCACATTGCTTATCAACATCGTACTTGCCCATTTTCCTTATCATCATCATTCCTACTATGTTTTTCTTATCAGTACCACCCTAGCTCAAAAAATATCAGTCAAACAAAGTCTGCACTGTCTGTCATGTTCTTGTTTTATATTGCACTAAGCTATATACCACAAACAATTACATACAGGTACTGGAAAATTTATGAGAGACCTGCCGAGTCAACAAGATCTTGGGATCTCTCTAAAAATTGTAAAATAAATTACCCAAATATTTTAAAAAAGAAGGGGTTACTGTATTCAGGAGACCATAAACCATTACCTGGCTTATTTTGTCAGGAAAATCATAAATAGAGATTTGAGCAATTATGACAACTCATGACTTTTATTAAACTTTCACTTGCTTATTTTTAGTATTATTATATGCAAGAATGAGTAATCCTACTGTGTGATATGATCACTGTGACTCTAGATATGAGGTCAATAATGCAAACTGATTCATTGAAAAAATATAAAAACAAAAAGAATTATACAGCAGTAAACATACCAATTTTGGAACCTGATCTTCCCTTTGGGGAGCTCCCATGCAAGCACCAACACTTCGCAAATACTGAGCAATTGTTTCTTCTGATGGTCGCTGCAACCGGAACCAGTATTTCAGTGTTCCAATCACCTTTTGGGAGAAAATATCACGATATTATATTATTTGTATTCCCTATGAGCAGATCTAAAAATTACATACTATTGTTTTCAGCTTTATTCTACTTCCACATTATTACATTAATACCAACAGACCTTTTAAATTCAGCAGATGAGGCATATCTGAATTTCATAATACTGCTCGAACATATAGACATAACCAATCGCAAGTACCCTGCAATAACCTTAATAACCAAGCTCATGTTCTTGTATGTCACAGGCCAGTAACCAAACAAATCTTACCTGTCCTGCCTGGATATCTAACCCTGGAGGCAGATGCTGAGCTTCCTCTGCATCATCATGAGCTAGCAGCACAGGAACAGTACCATGCAGTGTGTTTCGAGGGTGATCCAACACTTCACAAAATGTTATTTGGCACTCTCCTACCTTAGCAGGATGTCCAGAGTCTAACAGTATGTAGACACTAACTGAGGGGAAAAAAGTATGACAAGTTGTAATATTTGTTGTTGCACATTTCTAAACACAAGTAAGTATAGTATGGTTATTCACTCAAGAAAAAGAAGAAAAAAAACATAAATCAAACTATATGTTATTTCTCTCATATTCAGTTTCATGATATTCCTTACCTGTAACTATTTCATTTTTCAATGAGTCTAGATTTCTGTAATTCATATGAATCTTGTAAAGCGAGGAATGATTATATTTTGCAAGTGTGCCAATACCAACATTAGTGTGTTGTAATGGATCCTCTAAAGAAAAGGGGACAGTCCAGGACACAAAAGTCTTTTGATAGCTGAAGGCAGGAGCCTCAAACACCATGCACTCAATGTGGAACTCTAATAAATTATCATGTTTTCCAAGCTTCAATGACTGGGAAAGGTCCCGGCCAACTTCCTCGACCTTCTCTTTAATGCTCTTATCAGTGAGGGTCAGCATCTGTTGTTCCAGCTTCTCAATTCGCTCATCTCTTCTTCTTATTGTGTCAGTCAGTGTCCTGACAGACACTGAATATTCTTTTTCTTTGTCTTGTGCCTCTTGAGCCATATGATCCATCTAGAGAATAGATAGAAAAATGAGGGTCTCTGATTCAAATCCACTTTTAAACAGTAAAAGGCATAATCTACAATATTATATTGCATAAATTTTGTATATATAATGTTAAAGAGGTATCACTTTATTAACTCACTAACTAAAACTTTATCAAAGTGCAAATAAGAAATAACTCTGTAAAGAAACAATGTATTACAGTAGTTCATCTTCAAAACTACTTCAGAAGGAAAAATAACTTACTTGTCTCTGTAACTTTTTGTATGTATCACCATGCAAAGAGAGAGCATCTGCAGTTTTTTCTAATTCCAGGGTTCTTTCTCGATACAACAACTGCAGCTCACTGTGTGCCTGTTTCAGATCTCCAAATTCCTGCCAATGAGAGAAATAATGTAAGCATATACAGAAATACCAGTGCATCTTAAGCAATAATCTACAGTGACATAATATGACTCTAACCTTTGCTGATATCTTATTTGCAGCTTCTTCTTTTTCTCTCCTGGATGCTGCTGAAAGCTCTTCTGGGGTCATGTTCAGCAATCCTGCCTGCAAAATGGATTACATATTTTTTCCTATTAAATGAGATATTATCTCTTAAAATCTATTAGCTTCAGATTTTCCTTATCTATCTAAAGTGTATTAAATAAGTATTTGACTGACTTGATGTATATAAAATAGTCAGGAAGCAAATTGTTCTCACTCTTTACCTTGGAATATAGGCTAAGCTTCTGAGATGCCTTTTCCAACTCTTCCTTTAGAACCAAGTTTTGTGTCTGAAGTTCTTTTAGCTTGACTTCTGCCTTGGCAAGTTCTTCCTTGTCATGGGTCATATGTTCTAAGAGATTCCCCCTTTCACTGAGATCGCTCTGTATCACAAACATATATCTGTAGTTAAAGCAACATTTTAAAGTAAAAAAAAATATCAACAAGAAAGTATTGACAAGAAAACTAACCAGGATGACTAGCTATTTTCATCAAACCTAATCACAGATTATACCAACTGAAAATAAAATACCAAAAAGTATGCCAACATTGCAAACCTGTAATGCAGTCTCTAGATGCTCAATATGTGATTTAAGAGTCTGGATCTCAGCTGGATAGCCACGCTGCTCTACCGATAAGCTGAGCTTTGACAGTCTGTCATTTTCTTTTTGGAGTTGTTCATTTTCTCGCTATAATTTAAAAAATGATAAAATACCTGTAATACCATGTCATTTGGCCACTTACCATTACTAAAAATAGTAATATTCAGGAAGTCTATAATATTCTAAAGATTACATATTACTAATTCTTATCTAATACTCTGATAATTCTCCATCCTTTCAAGTATATACCAAAAAAAAAAAAGGAAATACAATCATACTGTTACCTTATGATTAGTAAGTTTTTTTAGAGCAATAGTGATAACAGTGCCAGAAATAATGATTTCCCTACCTTCAATATGTCATACTTCTCACTGGTTTGTTGTAACTGTCCATTTGTTTTCTGATGTTCTTGTTGTTGTTCACGCAAATTATTTTCTGCAGCTAAAAGTTTGCTTGTCATTCTCTCTGTTGAGGAGATAAATGATGAATCAAGATTACAAGAATTACAAGTATATCATGTATGAATAACTTTAGCTATTTAAAGAACATTGTCACGTGAGATTAACTATGCTTCATGACAACTTTATCCATTTCCCCTGCACCTAAGCAGAATGAGACAACTGGGGCAGTGTCATAATAGCTGAGAATGACATGTAAGTGGCAAATATGGACCAGCTTTTTTTTTTATGTGCCACCCTCTCAGCACTTAAGCATTATCAAAACTATGCAGATTACAAGATAATGTATTAAGAGTAAGAGAACACTTCTACTTAAGTCTTCAAAGATGTGAAATTGTGCAAAAAAAAAACACAGTTAATCCTTGCACACTGCATCTTATTCAAGGACACCAGGAGGAGGGAAATATTCTCTCATATTAGAGAGAGTACACAGGCTTCCAAAGAAAGCCAACACTTGTACAATTCATACAATACATATATATATATATATATATATATATATATATATATATATATATATATATATATATATATATATATATATATATATATATATATATATATTTATATATATATATATATATATATATATATATATATATATATATATATATATATATATATATATATATATATATATATATATATATTTATATATATTTATATATATTTATATATATTTATATATATTTATATATATATATATATATATATATATATATATATATATATATATATATATATATATATATATATATATATATATATATATATATACAGTAAGTCCCCAACTTAAGAACATAATGGGGACCAAGAGGCTGTTTGTAAGTTGATTTGTTTGTATGTCAAAAGTCGGGTCTCCATTACCTTTTTTCCCATTGTTTTAAAGTTTTGTTTACATTAAGAATACCTGTAAATAAATCCCAATAAGTACGACATATCTTATACAGCATCTTTCAAACAATTTTTTGGACTTTAGTACTTAAAAAAATTTGTTTGTATGTATGAAATGTTCATAAGTAGAATGTTCTTAAGTAGGGGGCTATCTGTATATATGTATATATGTATAAATATATATATATATATATATATATATATATATATATATATATATATATATATATATATATATATATGCACACACACACACACACACACACACACACACACACACACACACACACACACACACACACACACACACACACACACACACACACACACACACACACATCTTTTAGTATAATTATTATGATATTCTTTGAAAATATGTGATCAAGAAAAATAGAATCAGTCCATGTGCAATTACAATTACTCTTTCCAAAACTGTACAGAACAGTAAGATAAGAACATAACTCTTATTTTACTGAAAACACACCTAATTCACTCTGAAGAGACTCAATCCTGGATTTCCCAGCAATAACCTTCTCTTCTGTGACCGAGAGCTGTTCTTCTAGTGCCGAAGTGCGTGCAGCCATAGTTCGTGCTTCCCGCTGTGCACGAACCACAGCTACAGAGTCCCTCTCTTCCCGCACTCCCCGATCACGCAGCTCATCACGGAGACTCGACAATTCCTCCTCAAGATGCAATATCTTCTGCTGTAGTTCATATTCTGTGTCTTCTGCAGCCTATTACAATATAATAGTATCAATGACAGACTTTTCACAGGTTTCTTTTTGGTTATATATTCATGTGTCCCATTACTTCAGCTCTATAAAAGTGTGTTTTTATCATATCTACATATGCCATGCCCATTGGCACTGCATTAAGGAAAGTAAGTATTATTCCCAATACCTTTCAAATGATATACAAAATCCACTACAGCCAATGTTTTATACTAAAGAGCAATGTTCAACATAGATCAGACTACAAACAGTACTTATCTTAACATTACAAATATACACTTTCTAAGAGGAAATCAGTGACGAGATTGGTAATCAGATTTTTCCAGTTTTATAGAAAGTAATGGCTGCATAAGATGATTTTTTCAAGTCTAACATTTATTGAAACACACAAATATTGATCATCTTTTGCTAAGGAGGTGTACCAGTTGGAACTGTGGAGAACTATGCATTACTTATCACCCAGACATTATGCAGTGCAACAATCCTCTCACTGACAGAAAGTATAGGAACTGTCTATCAAAATTTACTAGACAATTTCTCACCTGTTGTGACTCACTCAGGTGCTCCTGCAATTCATCTCGTTCATTTTCCAGTTCCAAGATTTTCTCCCGTGCTTCTTCAAGTATTGAACGCACCTTTTCTGGTAACACCTGTGGATAAGAGTTAAACAGACCTTTGTAAAAAAAAAGAAATAATAATATATATATATATATATATATATATATACATATATATATATATATATATATATATATATATATATATATATATATATATGTATATATATATATATATATATATATATATATATATATATATATATATATATATAACAATAAAACTTTTTTTCTTTCTTTTCTTTCTTTACTCAAAAAGCTTCATAAAATAATACAACACTGTATAAGAAAAAGAACAATATTCACTAATAAAAGGCAACACTGACTTCATCTGCTTTTTCTTTGGATCGTGGTGAAGGGGCTCTTGAAGTGCTTTCTGAGGAGGAGAGCAGTGATGCAGATCCAGGTCGGGACAGTGGTCTTCTCTGACTCCTTAGGGGGCTTGCCGGTGTCCTCGGCTGCTTGAGTCCACTATCCACCCGTGGCCCAACATTACGAAACAGCATAGGCTTGTTCTTTTTAGCTGCACTTAGCTGAATATTTGCAAGTTTCAGTTTCTTCTGCAATGGTATTTTTGCCATTTATATGGACAGCAAGAACATTAGTAAACTGTCACAATATTTGTTTCAAATTATTGAAAAAAAATCTTAATAATTCATTGTCTGTTTTTTTTTTTTTTTCGTTAATATTTAGAATCATTTTGCCCACCTTGGTAAATCATGACAGAGAAAAGCAGAGACATCAAGGTTTTACACTGAACATACCACAGCAATAGTTAACAGAAAAATAAAGCTAAAAACAACATTGTGTGATTGAGTGAGAATCGGTAATCTAAAGTTACTGTTTCTATGAAGAAGATTTCATGAATTAATGCAACAGATACAATTATGTGTAAAGCACAATATAGTAGGATAATCAAATAATTTGCAATATCTTCATATCCACTTTCCTTAACTGTAAACTGTTAGTATCTAATGTCGAAATTACTTTAAACTTATCAATCAATTAAAATTAGAGAGAATATGGTGTGGTACTGTTTTTTTGCACTCCCCTTGTTTTTTTTCTACGCAACCGAGATTTATCATCTTTTTTATAACCAATCTAAACTTTCTTTTTGGGGGGGCCAAAAGTATAAAATTTTGCTTTAAAAAAGTTAGATTCACTATATTTTTAAAGATCTGGTCACCTTTATCAGTGATATATCAGATAATCACAATAAATATAGATAATATAGGATAATTATCCTGTATCTTTCCAAGATATCTCACTCTTACTCTCCTACAGTAAATAAATTTTACCATTATGTTAATGGCTATAGTTTTACTAAGTAGACTATGTTCTCAGTTTGTAACTAAATATACCAGTACTCCTATGAATTGTGAAAATCTAAAGTTGTAAACACAAGAAGAGGGAAAGATATTTCTTATTTATGAAAATAAGAAATTTGTGCCAAAATACAACACAACCAACACCATAAAACTATGTATATGGAGAGAACTTTCAAAGCAATGATTATTCTCATAATCAGTCTACCTGGAAGATTTTTTTTTATTCTCATTCAATTTTCATAATGTGAACATCTGTTTGTGAGAATATTGCCATGCCTAAATTAATGTTTCATTAGAGGTAACATCTATAAATAGTTTAATTCTATGTTAAGTGACTGTATATGTTATCCTTAATAAATCCACTATTATCAATTTCACAGTCTTTTCATGTGTTTCTAGAAATGGCTATCATTGAGTGAAAAATACCATCCCAATTTAAAGCATAATTGCTTCTTTCCCTTTCTTTTCACAGTAAACTTCATTATATCCCAATCATCATATCAATAGCAAACTTAGAGTACATACAAAGCAAATTAATGAGCACCATAAGGAAATAAAATTAGGAATTTTTCTGGCATTTTGAAAATAAGTCCCCCTCCCCCCTTCCCTAACAAAGGCTTGGCTATATGAATTAGTCTGTACTTGTATCATGGAGCTCCTTGTGGCTTTGAATTTTCTGGACAAAATAATGGAAAACTAACTAATACAAACCTCAAGTTGCTCATTTTTACTTTGTACTTCACGTAAGGTTTGACGCTGAGTTTCAATAATCTCCTGGTGTTCCAAGTCTTGAGCATTAAAATCCATTTTCTTTGTCCCACCACCCTTCTTTCTGTCACTTATGAGTTTTCGAAGCTTGGTCTGCAACCTATAGGAAAAGGCTTGCGATTAATAACATAATGAGAAATATGGTCACTATAATATGGCATAGCATCATCTACATACTTAAAAAATGATTCTGTGATTCTCTGCTTTAGTGCATGCTTAAATTATTATGGTTACTTTAAGCACTGACAAGTCCTGAAGTTATAAGAAAAAGCTTAGAAACAAAAACAAAAAATATATCTAAAAATTATACAGTAGTTGTAACTTTCAATCATTACCAAAAAGTTTATAAAAATCTTACTTTGTAATTTTATCTTCCTGTCTGCAGGAGAACTTCTTAAGTGTGTAAAAGTCATCTCTCATCCTAATATATTTTTCTCTTAATTCTTCTTGATTCATGTGACTCAGCCAATACATTTCTTCTGGTGCAGCTGAAAGAGGTATTCTTTATGATAGTAGGTGAGATATTCTTACATGTCAGTAAAAAGTTATATGTACCTATTAAGGACACCACTAAACATTAAAATAATTTTTGTACATCTACAGCCCTAAGTCAACACACACACACACACACACACACACACACACACACACACACACACACACACACACACACACACACACACACACACACACACACACACACTCACGCACTCACACACACAAAAGTCACTAGTTTTTCTATCAAATATTAAACCTTACTATGCCTTGGATGGACGGCATGGCTATCACGGACAGGAACATGATCTTCATCACTTGTTGCCATTCTGATGGAAAAAAAAGAATAATGCATAAAGAACCATACAAATATATGTGTATTTAGGCTATGTATCTCTCTGTGTGTGCATGGAGGGGGGGGGGGGGGGTTATACAAATACATTTTATCAATATATAGCAAAAGGAGCAGAAAATCTTGAGAAGTAGTAATGTGATATTTATATGAACTGGAACCATGGCATACCCATTTACGACACAGCGCGCAAAACCACTATGGTCACACATCCAAATTGGATATGACATGCGTCCAGATAGGGTATGATACACATTCATATTGGTATTACACACTGTCAACATATTGCACAACATTTTGATGTACAACTATGATTATATTAAATAGTCATTTTTTCTTCAGCAATTATTCTAGT